CCTTGTCGGGCTCCAAACTTGTTAGAAAGCAAATTTGATTGTCCGGGATTTTCCCAGCCCGGCAACAAAACGCTTATTGCCACCCCCTTTATTAATGCTATGGTAACATTAGTTAGGGTGTCGCCAATATTTTTGGTAGAGCTCATGTTGTACGTTCACGGATGTTCAGCCATTGGATTGCATTTTCAAAGTGGAGGCGGAGCGTCGGTGACTTGCTGGATGATTGTCGGCAAAGGCGCTGAAACCATGCAAGCTGTGGTGCATCATTTTGCGCCCATTTGGCAACCTTGTTTGCTGAAGAAACGCTGAATTCATGCTACTTCCCTGCTGAGCATAGGCGACACGGGGCAGGGGTTAGGCACATGCATGCAAGCTTATGCGAAAAGACGGTTAGAATTGATACAAGTTTCCAGTGCATTTGGGCTGAGACCGTGCTGTTTTTGTGAGAGACGGGACTGAACTCTAAGGATTTTGGGCAGGTTCCGTTTGATGCGTATGGATGCCAAACGCCAAGGGGAACATGCAGGACAAGGTATCATTTTTCCGTGAACCCTTTGAGGTTCACAGAATTTGACCATTTAAAACGATCCCGAAGAGCCGGTACAGTGATTCTTTCATCATGTTTCGTTAGACTACAGCCTGCGCCCAAACTCCAGCCTAATCATGTTGACCTCTAGTTTCTTTCGGCCAGGCCCGCCATCCCAGCAGATGTTTCCATGGAGCTGTTGTCAACATTGCGCCGGGCAGAGGCAATTCAAGTGTGCTTGCAGACAAGCAGGGCCTGTGAGAGGATTTCAAAAGTTCAGATTGGTAGTGGACGCGCACGGTAGGCAGGTGTATGCATGAGGTCCATGTAAAGCAATCCCCATGCTTTTGTGAGAGCGCAGTTTGCTTAAACCACGAAGGAGGATGTTTGAATTTTCTTGGGAGCTGCTACAGGTAGATCTGAGTTTCTTTCCTTGCTATTCATGGTCAGTTCCGGGTACAAGCTGGACACGAAAAGGGGGTTCCTTCAGATGGGGAGAGAAGAACTTCAGCCAAAATCTGCAGCTCCAGGGTGACCAGATATTGAGTCTTGTGAGTGTGTTAACCCCAAAACAGAAGAGCCCCAAAGGATGCTGTAAGTTCGAGCACGCCGTGGTGGCAGCCGCTACAGTGCCCATTGACCCAGGCAGGCTGAGGTTCCAGGATTTGCATTGGGTCCAGGTTTGAATGTAGGAAGGGTTATGCAGGCACGTGCAATTTGACTGGCAAGGTGGCTTTGAATGTTTGTGCGTGACGTGAAACGCTGAGTAAATTGGAACTCTTCTTTTCGGTGCCCCACAAGTCGCAAGTCAGAAGGTTTTGTATTGCCTTGCTTGGAAGCGAGGCATGTAGTAGGCCAATTGACGGAGCGGATGAGTTGATAGATGCTCTAGGTGCAAGTGAATTTTCCATGGCCGTTATGAATCTTCCGGCTCTTTGCATCATTACTTGAGGCCAGCGTTCATTGAACAAATCCTTGCTGAAGGCCCCTTAAAGTACCTTCATGTTGTGGAACACCCCCGCGCCTCACGTTCGGTTATTCCGAAATAGTGGTTGTTTAGCCCAAAATATGATTTGTCCTAACTACAGGGGCTGGCCAAAAAGCCCCCTCATTTTTGGAAGCCTTCGATTTGGGACTGAGCTCTGACTGCCAATGGCTTGATTCGTGTTTCGTGTTTGCCAGAGGAGCGGCTTACAGAACCAGCCAGGGGTCGCAAGCTCAGGAATCCTGTGCTCAAACTTACAATAATGCACTACTACAATAATATACTAGAATAACAAACTATTATAATAGTATTTACTATAGTAATAATTACTATCATAATATAATTCCTACAGTGATATACCAGTATTTTCGGGTAGTGAGGTGATCACTGTCCCAGCCATTGAGGTATGCACTGCCAGCATTTGCAGTGCTTTGAGCTGGAAGCCTTCCTGGTGACAGCAGCGGCGATGCCGTTTCAGCGCAGGTGGGACTGATGCGAAGAATGTCCCTAGAGACTTGTTCTGATAATGGAGTATTCTATGAACTAACAGTCATCAACGGCATTGTGGACAGAACCCTCTTTCTAGAAGACGTACGAATTTTCATTGAGGGGTTTCCTGAACCACTTTCTACGTTTGGCAACATGTTAAAACAGCCAGCCATTCTTGCCAGGGCTCCAGGACAAGTAAAGCCATAGTTTGTATGCCTCAGGTGGCACTGCCCCATCTGCAACTCGCCACTCCGGCCGTCGCAGCTTGCTGTTTGTGAGCTAACAAGGCAGGGGCTTTTGCACACTTTGGGATCCCGGGCAGGTCTAACTCTATCATGGTGTTTTGCGGTTAGGAATCACCCCGGTGCCCAGTGGCGCAATAAGTTATGTTATTATATGTCATTTATTGTGTCAATTACAAGGACACCAAAACTGTGACCGAAGGGTTGAAGCAGGTCGTGTTTAGATGTATCCGAAAGCCGAAGCACAGGAAGTTCCTCGGGGAGCTTCCGAATAGCACCGTGGCTGCGCTGGACCAGCAGCTGGAGTTCCAGAAGGCGTGGCCCTTGAAGGGGTCATGTTGACATGACCCCCCATCATTAAACCAAGCTTCCTACTGGCATTAATTATCAGGATGCTTCCTCCTCAAAATGTAATGATATGCCAGAACAGACCGGCCATGTGCCCGGGCACAGCAATAGCGCGTGTCGCAAGCAGTTGCAGCATGCTTGCCTTGACATCTGTTTTTTTCCGGGTGCGACCTGGCGTCTTCTGCATCATAACCTGGTACAGTTCTGTATTAGCAACATAGGCAAGGCGCCCAATCAGAACCACAACAAGGACGACAACAATGACAACCAAGTAGTGAGACCAGTCATAGTAAAAACAGGATCTACGCAATTCTTACATTCGGTCACCCCTCGCATTCCAAAACGATACAATTCTTTCTAAAGTGATTCAAAATGCGCCCATGGTTCTTGGAGTTCCTAGGCATGACCCTCGCGAGTCAGGAGTAGGCGAATTTTTGAGAAGCTTCAGTCTTTCTTCGTCAGCTCCAGGTCGCCGTGAGCGAGACCTGTCCGGTCCTTGAAAATTCAGATGAACTGCTTTTGTCGTCTCATGGACATATCTTGAGTTGCAGTCCTTAAACATGAACCGGGCTCGCGCACGGTACCGGTTGTGCGTTTCTCGCCATTTTGGGTCCGTATCATTCGCAGCGATACCATTGTTTAGTAACACAGATCGTGGGAGTGAAGTGCCGACTGGTTCGCCCATCAGTTTGGATCAGCTTCTGCTGAGGCGACTTAACTGCTGAGTCTGCTGAAGCCCTTCCAGTACGTGTGGCAAAATCTGCAAGGCCATCCTGGGTTGACGCAATGAATGCCGCACTCGGAAGCGTGAGGTTGCATCTATTCTTGCGCGTCCCCAATCACCTACGACCGTACATGGCTTCCAGCTCAACTCCAACCTACGTACATGTAGAACTGTAGAACCAAGACTCGTCAGGAATGTCATGCCTTTCCAAATCTTGTATGGAAATTTCTCAACAATCTCCCCATGCCATCATTGAAGGTGCCCCCGCAATCCCCTTGCGATCTCAGATACACCTAAACTGGTCTCGCAGGGCTGCCTTTTTCGAGAAATGCTTCTTTGGTTATGCTAGGAAATTCCCGCATAGTCCCCACCTTGTGATGAACACGCTGCCAGGGTTCACCGCGGCCACTGGGGCCGGCGCTTGCGCTGCGAGGCTGCGGGTCTCTTGCTCTCCGAAGCCTTACTGTCCCCCCCGGCAAGCACGGGTCTTCTTTTAGTGGAGAGTGGGGGGACCCCTAAACATATCTGGGTTGTAGTGTTAAATTAGATTTAATAGGAGGAGGACTTCTGGAGCTCAGAATCTGCTTGAAAGCAAGTTCAATGGGAGGATGGCTTCCGGAGCCCAGAAGTTGTCTTAGTTTTTAAATTCAATAGGAGGAGAGTGAGTTTCCAGAGCTCGGAATCTGTTTCAAGTTAGATTCGCTCCGGAGCTCCGTAGTTGTTCGAAATAAGTTGAATTTGAAAGAAAAGCCTTTCGCTTTGTGGAATCCCGAGGGGGGTCCGACAATTTCGCATAGTTCAACCCAAACATTCGCATTATTGAGGACCCAAGCAGCTGCTGGACTACCCCCTTGCAAAAATTATTGCCTGGCCTCCTCGAACAAGCAGTTCAATAAGAAATCGATCGGTCTGTACCTGGCCTGACAAAAGCACATAAGTTTATTCTACGCATTTTTTTCTTAAAATACTGTAGGCTCTCTGCTTCTTGTGATGCGCGGTGACCTGGTTATTGTATTGATTGAGGCGATCTCCAAGTGATGGGTATGTTGACTGGTCTTGCTTGCGATTCTGTGAGACAATCTGAGTTGCCCTCTGTAGGTAAGCCGCCACAAGTATGGTTAGAGATGGGTCTGTGTTGGCTGAGGCGCCTTGATCGCCCAGCTGAACTCTCCCTGCATTGATCATGCTATTGGGCTGTGGCAGTGGGAGGGTTTGCAAGTTGACAGAAGCTGACTTTGATGCAGCTTCGCCAGCTTCCGGCATTTCTCCCCCCCCAGGCTTGAACAAGACATTCACTGAGATTTTCCCTTGCCCTTAGGCTAGACCCGCGCGTTTCAGACGTTGCCGCATTCATCCACAGCAAAAAACTCCGCACACTTAAAGGCCCCCAAGCAAATCAGGGGGTGCGGAATAATTTCAGCAAAACTTCGCACAATTGATAACTAAGGTTCCCTGCACTATACTCGGGATCAGACATAACCCCTACAAGGATCGCAGGGATAGATGGAGACTATAAAAAGATTGCCAAGGGTCACCCTTTCAGATCATGAGCAAGGGGTAGACTCGCAATTTTGGATCCCCTTGGATTGGGACATGTAGCCCTAACATTCACAATCAGGTTACGGGCCCATTAGATTGTGTGTGTAACGGCGCATGTGGGTGCGTGCCACGCCAGGTCCAACAGGGGACTGAGTTGGACTGAGCCGCAGCACGCCCGCAGAGAAAACAGTATGCGCTATCATGGGTGCACGCATGTTTTCCAGTGCAAGGTCAAGCCGCTGTTGCTGTGCTAGTTCCTACTGTCCTACTGTTACTTCCACGGCTGCAGGCAATGTCATGTTGCCGAGCCGTTCTCTGACTACTCCTCATATTTCCACCTCGCAGGAGTCATGATTGTAGTAGGAAAGCCACTGAGCAACATTCTTTCTTTGGTACTGGCAGCATTGGGGTCTAAGTCTAAGTGGTTCGTGTTGATGTGCCCGTCCCCCATTGATTGGCACTTTCTCAAATGTTTGAGTCTTGTCGTGGGGCGCACTTGCAGTAGCCTAACATTTTTGGGCGATAGTTCTTAATGACTGCGTGCCTGTAATAAGACGTAACCTAATCACCCCTTTGCTACTTCACCCCTTGCGCCAGCGTTTCCTCGGCGGCACCGACCTTCGTGGAGACAGCGCTTAGCACTCAGCTTCTAGCTTAGGACTGCAGGCGTTGCAGGGTCGTTTTGCCGGCTTAGGACTTGAGGGTTTGGTGAAGGGGTTGAGGACCTGCATGAGTGTTGCAGCTATATCATATCTTAAGTATTGGTACTGTGTGGGTTGTTCACTGCAGTCAGCGAATGGCGTCGACTCAGAAGCCCCAAGTTGTCGCTTCAAATCATCCTCCTACAAACAGCTCCAAGGCAAGCATCTCCCACCCTCTGAAGCCCAAGCAACATCATCAGGACAATCTTCTTTCTCACTGCAGCAAACAGCGGTACTTCCAGTAGTAGATAGAACGGTAGGCCTGGCCAGCCCAAATACATGTCACCGTGCTCACATCATCTTTGCACATCCAAGTCTCTCATCTTAGCTTCCATGCAAGATGTATTGCTTTGTGTTGGCAAACAGGCCCCGGTTCGATTAGACGCCGACGCTGGGATTCCCAGACCGGTTTGATGCCACAGTTTTTCAAGCGCAGAGCTTTCAGGTTTATTAAAACTCCGGTTTAAGCAGATTTCCTTTGATGAAGGATGTTAGTACGGTTTCTACAAGTAGGGTCAAGGACTAGCATGTCACCCTGATTTGTGAGTGTCTGATTGCTACGTTCAAGGTTGGGGCTTTTAGTGTGGGATACCTGTCGCCAACCTGTAGAAGCATTAATTATGTCTTCCAACTTGCGCAGCTTGTTCTAGCAAGCCAGTCACTTGACAGTCTTGGCCCGCTCTGAAAACCATTTGGGCCTGCTTCTGTGTCAAAAGCACTCCGGTCTTTTGTTGGGTTTCTCGAGGTATGACAGCAAGATAGCATGGACAGCGTGGACAGTTGCTCGACGTGCTATGAGTTTTCCACACTATCCTGCAGTAATCCTGTCATCCCTGCCCAAACCCTCCATGTCCCTGGATCACTCAAATTCTTCCCTACAGATCAGATACTTCAATCGTAAGAACCCTTCTTGCAACTTGCACTCCGCTAGTTTTGTGCCCAAGGCTCCTCCAGACCCGCGGCAGAAGTTGGAAAGCATGCGCAGAGGCAGCATGGCCTTGGGGTTCCTCAAATATCCCACTTGTATGGGGGGCTTCCCAGAATTGGAGGACCTTACTAAAGGAGGGACACAAATTCTGAAGGTTCTTATAATAGGCATAGTAAGACTTTCTGAGACACGCGCAGGCTAACACGACTTTTGAGAAGGTTTGTGGAGGGATGGTCAGTTTGGCGATCAAAAGGTTGCGCTTGAACGCAGCAACAGCTTCCACAAGAGGAGGAACAAGTCATCTTTACAGCCTCATCTTATGGAGGATCACCGCATAGGTCGCATGTCCAAACCATAGTCATGATCGTAGAGCCCCCCCATGCCAATCCATGCCGTACCTCCCACTTTGGCACCGCAAAGCAGGACCTCAATTTTGATTCCTGCCCTGATCATCTTCATCCTCTAATATTCTGACAAAAGCTGTTACCCCATCAACGGACCTCTCAATGCAAGTACTTGCGCTAGGTCTGGTCGCCGTTGGTGTGGATGGGGAGCTGTTCCAAAAGGTTGCCGGGAAGCTGGCTCAGTCTGGCGATTTGGAGAAGGCACCCTACGTTTCTTTCTCATGCACAGGCTGAGATGATGAGTATATATAAGCTTTTTGCTGTATATCATACCTGAATTTAAGGGTCATGTTGGGATGATGTTTCTGTGTGGTCAGGCTTTACGTTAGGCCTTGCAGGGCTTAGAGGTGCTGTTAGCTAGTCAACGGGCCTTGGGCTTCGTGGGGACTGTCTCAGGAGTGTTCAATGCAGACTTAGGCATCACCTTGGCTTCAAGCGAATTTGCCTGCATCCTTGGGAGATGTTATTGCGCTTTAAAGTGATCACATGCCGGCGAACCATTCGGGGTGAGCGTGAGTGAGCATTGGCTCCGCTTGAGCATTTTCAGGAAGATTGATTTTTTGCTCAGATACAGGAACCATTGCATAAGGGCCGTAAGGGGGATCGGTTTCTTCATGGCAGGCTTGCGAAGTGCTGAAGAGCCGCTTCTCAGCCGCTCTGAATTCCTTGGAGTGATGGGTGTGTCTCAAAGCCATGGCCCCCTTTTTGAGGTGTCAGCAAACAAGCATTCCAACTGCGTTGTTGATGTAGTCAGGGGCCATGATGTTGGCACACCCTTGTTGATGTGCAGCTAGCCACGTCGCAGGGTAGTCCTCACAGCTAAACTAAACGGTCTCCTTCGAAGGGCAACGGGGCGCAGGCGTAGAGCAGTCCATCTGTTACAAAGCGACCCGTGCAGTCATGGCGCTTCCTTCTAGATGCAATCTGCACCCCAAACGTGGTATGCAAGAAATCCACACTGTAGTAGCACTGGCGGCTCCGAGATTTAGCTAGATGTGAAATTTTCAACCTGTCAGCCATGACTCACTTTGTATGGCCTGCACTTCAGAGTCGTGTATGTAGGATGCTTCGGAATATGCTGACTTAACTCTCTTTGTGATTTCTGAAGGATCTGATGAAACTCCCAGATCTTTCTGACTTGCTGCGGGGGACAAGCATAAGTTGTCCCAAACCAGCTAAAAGACATCACGTGCGCCATGCTTCCAAGCCTGCGGTTGCCTGCCGCGCCTTACGGAGTACGTAGTAGTAGTAGTAGTAGTAGTAGTAGGAGTAGGAGTAGGAGTAGGAGTAGGAGTAGGAGTAGGAGTAGGAGTAGGAGTAGTAGTAGTAGGAGTAGTAGTAGGCAGTAGTGGCAGCAGCATAATAATAATAATAACACGTGTAGGAGGTGTGGCAGTGTTACCTGTTGGAGGAGGAATAGCAGCAACATACAGTCTGTAGCAGTAGAAGTTGGAGTTGGAGTACGAGAAGCGAGTAGAAACGTAGTTTACATTAGGGCAACAAGGAAGGCATTACTAATGTTCTGGTGAGAGGAGTCAGAATATTGGTCATGCTGCTATGATAGCAGCAAGCATTGCTGTGACATAGCAGGCTTAGACCTAGAGACCGTAATGCCGGCCCAGGGTGGAGGTTGCGCTGCTTGAAAGCAAGGCACATGGCTCTGCCAAAGGCCGCCACCGCAAAAAAAGAAAACATGCATGATTCATGCTTACGGTCAGAGTTTCCGGAAGGTTAGGGATGCCATAAACTTCAGGTATTCCAATATGTCCTGATTACCAATTTCTTCAGTACAGCTCTCAGATTCCGGGCGGATGCACATGTCCCAGGACTATGCGCTCTGCTGGGGAATCGGTACGCAAACTGGCCACTCATGCTCAGAAACAGCAAGCTCGCGTGCTGGTCCTTCTAGCTTTCAAGATGCTCAGAACTTCTTGTATGAATCCAGGGGGTAGAACATGCGCAAATGCACACAGATCTGACTCGGTGGGGGTTTGCAGGGATGTCAGCCTCAAGCTTCTGCATTGTCGTTCTCAAGCACGCAGCGATCAGGTTCAACCAGTCCCTTGAGACAATGATTGCTTGGATGAGTTAGATGGGGTCATGTGTTTGCTTCCTTCCTCTCAGCTCAGATGATTTTGCAGAGGTTTGGAATCCCAGGTGAAGTTTGTTGGAGTTAATTCCTGTCTTATGTTCTGGCCAGTTGTGGTTGCCAAGCGTTGTTGTTTGCGTCTTTAATGCGATGAGTATGTAAAAATGCCTAACTCTTCTGAGGCATCTTCATACATGTTCCCCTCCTGGGGTTGTGCACTAGGTCGAGCTGTAAGGCAAGTTCCTTGCGAAGTGATTCTCCCGCAAGGTTCCCAGGGCTCAAGGAGCCAGCTTGGTACAATACCCATTTAATACCTTGTAAAGCATATGGCTCCTGCTCGTGCAGAGTGGCTGGCCCACAGTTTCGCCTGCCTTCTCCTGTACGGGTTCTGGGGATTTCTGGGCAAACTTGCCTTGGTACGTGGCTTATCCAGCTCGCAGGAAGCTGGCCTTGAGAAGCTGGGATTCTTCCTCACTTTGCCCTTGCTTCTCACACCTTCCGGCCGTGATCCCAATGCTGGCGCTGGCCTCGCATCACGCCCCAAGTTTGCCATCCTGGCAGCATTCATTAGCGGAGTAAGTTGCGCTGTGGCTAACTTCTTCTACTCCCGCGCGATGATGAACGGCGATGCGGGAGCTGTATCTGCCATCACAGCATCTTACCCGCCTGTCACACTGATCTTATGTGCCGCATTCATGCGCGAGAAGGTTTCGAGGAACAAGCTTCTGGGATCCTTCTTCATGCTCTTGGGTGCTTTCTTCATGGCGCGCAGCTGAACTACAGCTGAGGTTAGCTGAATGAAGAGTTAGGAGAGGTCTGCCTGGACCGAAGCCATAGTGATCTCTGATTCTGCGGTCCAAAGGGATGCAGAGAAGACGGGTGGCCAAATGCAAAACGGGGCAGCCCGCTGATGGAACCTGATAATATGATGATGATGATGATGATGATTGACATAAGTATCTCTGAGCATGACCGCCTTTTTCATTCACATTAGGATTCGGCCCCTCAACCTCGTAGCCCAAACATGGGCGCAATTTCAGAGTATCTCCTGAGTTCTGTAGAGCTACCCACATGACTAAGTCATTAGTCAGGCCTGATGGGCCAGGTGAAGCTGCTCTTTTGTTAGATCCCTTTGAAAAGAGATATCTGGATACAGGGGGTGTAGGTCTGTCGATTCTTTCGGATAACTTACACTGGTAATGTCCAATAAAGTGGCAACAGTGATGGCTTTGGCAAGCATCCTTAGTCACAGCAATACCACATCTTTTGCCTCCCTTTCAGGACCCTTGCTTCATTTCTGAAAGATCAAATATTCAACTGTTTTGCTTGCTGCTTTGGAATGGGATGAACAGTAATCATCGCCGCGGCAGTTGCCCCTGACCAGGTCAGGATGACGGTGCCGCTGAGCAACTGAATAACATTTTCATGTTCCCAATATGGATCTGAAGTGAATTCAGTCCCTAGCACTTTTCATTGGGAGATGTGTTAAAATCTGTATCTGACAGGCGCACGGTGAAACTCGAGAACCTCCCCGTACCACGTTAGATTCATTTATCCAGGGTGGGTCTTGATGATTTCGTTGCCAAATCATGCAAACTCTAGCCAGATTCCTGAGCCCAGACCTCGAAAAGCATTTGCCTCGCTTGCTGCCTGCGCCAATGGAGCCGTGAAGGTGCTGCGAGCATGGGATGCGACCTTAGCAGGGCTGACATCGATAGTATCGGCTTCATGCTAAGGTACGGGGTTGCATGAGATTGCACGGGATCACACGGGATCGCATGGTGCCATTCTTCGGTTCGTAGGGTATCGAAGAATTGGCCGACAAGATGGAATTTGTAGATTCTTTCCTTCTTCCTGCAAGATTGACCTGGATGCATTTTGCATGACTCGCTTCACATTGTGGTTCTTTGTGTTGAGCTTGGGTTCGGCACTGCTCAATAACAACGGCTGCCCTCAAATCCTAAGCGCCAGATTTAGTCCTAAGTTCAAATCCAAAATCTTAAACATCATGCCCCGAAAACCCAGATCCTGACCTGCGGGCCCCAAACCCAGGCAAAGAAGTCCTGGGCGAGATAGCTTTTGCGACGGGCGCCCAGGTCGCCGTGTGCTGATTAGAGTTCGGCCTTTTGCGCAGCTTAGGGTTTTTGTGTTTTAGCGGGGGGGGGGGGGCAGGACGGACCCAAAATTTGTTCGCGTGGCTTGGATATTCAATGCAGGTAAAGGCTTGGGAACATGGCAGTTTCAACAAAACCTTTGGCGCATTCTCAACCCTAAGCCCAAAACATCTTTAAGTATGGGCGGCCCTTTTCAATCACCACGTGTCCCCCAAATAATCCCTATATAATTCCACTAGCATCCTATAGGCTTCAACCCCGGTTCAGTTCCACAATGCTCCTTTCAGCTCTCCGGCGCCAGGCCATTTCCGAGTTCGACCGAGTCCCGTGCACCGCCTGTTTGGCACCACGGGGAAAGTTTCTCTCAAAGAGCATGCCCCGTAAGTACCGGTCGCTCGAGCAAATCCGTAAGGAAGCGATAATAAGAACAAGAACACGGTCGTTTCCAGGTTGAAGTTGCCAAACTGCGCATGTCAATCAAAATTGCCAGATTTGAGGCCTCAACCTTCCTAGCTGTGGCAAAGAAGTGGACTGTCAATTCCAATCTGACTTGTTATATGTAATTCAAAGTTTAGCTATGCCACTTTGAGCTATTGGACGAAAGAAGCCTCTAGATCATGCAGTAATCATTTAGGGGCTGAAGTACTGAAGAGGCCTGAAAAGATTGCTATGGTATTCGCCCTACAAGGTGGCACACTTCTCTCTTTACGCCTGGCATGTGTTAACGCCTACGACGGCATGCGCGTTGTTCAACAAACAGCCTGAAGGTACGGCTGCTCGAAAGTGAGCTCGAGTCTGAGCTTTTGCACCTGAGGGTTGCTAGGAGGACTAGGAGGACCCCAAAGAGGAGATTTGAAATATTACGCCCCCCTCTCCAGGGTGTATGGCCACAACAGAGTCATAATAGAGCATGGCAGCTTTATCGGCTTTATCTATCTCTTCCTGGGCCTGGGCTTTGGAGCCACCAGGAAGCGTGTTATCCTTCTTTGCTATCGGGGGGGGGGGGGGGGGGCNNGAGCTCATGCTTAGCCATGCTGGTCCGAGGCGTGGATGTGCCCCACAACAAGATCACAGGACCTGCCAGGTCCTTGGCTTCCTTCTTACTGCTGAGGTTAGGATTCAGGATGCATAGGGCCATACAGGCTTGGGAGTCACCGGGGTTTGCTACAAGCTTACTTCCTTGTGCTCAGAATTCAAGCAGCCTCCGACGCCCAAACAGAAACACGCACGGACGGTGTTTCGTGCCTACATACTTCCTTTACAATTAAAGTCTACTGAGGTAAGCCACAAAAGATGCCGTTCTTGATGCAAGGTTGCCGAACTGGCTCGCACCCTCTACTTCACACGGCGTTGGGGCCTTGGGTGACCCCCCTCCCCTCAAACCGTCCAGTCCCCACATAGTATCAAAGCAGTCAGACAAGTTTCATGTTTAGCAGGAACGGGTGAGATGGTGTGTTTGGCGTGACATTTGGGAAAACTACTGCGCCACTTCAAGTCTCATTCCTCTGGGAGTGACAGGCACACTAACTTTCATGGGCCTACGCAGAAGTTCAGTTCCATGCTTCATGAATGTTGGTACTGACATTATGACAGCCGATAAGTTTGCGAGGCGAGGCGGAGGAGATGATGCATACTCCGAAGCTGGACCCCAAGGTCCCTATTGGAATTGGCATGGCTGGGGTTGCTGGTGGCGAGCTGCAGTACTACTCCAACAACAAACTTCCTGTGTCGATCAACCAAACAGCAATAGTGATACTGGATATTATACTTGGGCTGGAAGTCGATGCTCATTGCGGCTGAGAGCTCTCAGAAGATTGGCTTGGCCTAAACTTTGTCCCAATCTCATAGGACAGTCCTGGCAGATGGCAGGTGAGGCACTACGCAACCGACACAGCGCACTATGCCATAGCCTCAGAGAGCTTCGGACATGTGCTAATTCTCAATCATGCTATTTGTTGACCTTTGCTTGCGGTTGCTATGCCATGTTTTTCCGATTGCTGTTGGGGATAACCCTCTGCATGACTAGATTTCCTCATTAATGGGAAGATACTGTCATTCTCACAGTTCTGGTCGTTCTGACTATGTGCAGAAGGGAAGTCATGAAATTAGTTTGCAGCTACAGCTGTAGTGACTCTTTTTGCCCAGAGATTTTGTGTTTTTTCTGCAGCGGCTTGTGCTAACTTTGACAAGACAGTGAAGCCTCGGCACTTTAAAGCCGAAAGCTTGAGCTTATTACTGGTTCTTAGTAGGGAGTAAAGGGAGTATGTTTCATAGGTCTAGGGCTTCTGTGACCTTACTCCCTACTAAGAACCCATATATGTACCCTATACTACAGTAGTTTCCATTTTGTTGTCCATTGTCCCTACATCACCCCAAACCCTACCAACTTTGGGAAACCCTTAGTCCTAACCCTAGACCCTATATGTCCCTATAGAACCCCCTATCCCCCAGGAAATATTCCCACCCTGGGACCCTAGACCCCTAAATCATAAACCCTAGGTATGGACATTATATTCCTTTGATTCATATTAACTTATATCACATAGGTATTGGGATTTATTCCCTACTAAGAAATAGTAATCCCTAAACCCTTTGTATCCCTATAGAATCGCTATCCCTATAGAATCCCTATATCCCCCAGTCAATATTCCCTACGAAGAACTAGGCTTCAGCAGCCCAGGCGCATGACCTGGAGTTCTTTGCCAGGCAGCCTGAAGCTCAAACTGGCACCTCTCCAAACCGGATAAAAAGATAATGTATTACAATGATATTATGATGTACTGGTAATGTAATATAGTATGATGTAGTAAATTGTAGTATAATTGCTATATTGTTGTATAATATAGTATAATATATACTAGAATATACTAGACAGTTTTAATCTATTTTACATTATATTATATTCTACTAACTTCGCCAACCGTGTTGGTGCATTCATGCACGCGACATTCTTTCCATTGTAGGGATGGTTTGATGACATAGCATTGCGTAGAATGGCGGTTCACATGGTGCGGTTACCGGACGTGAGATCAACGCCAACACTGCTGTTGAAACCCACAGGGAGATGAGTGATGCGTATTGATGCAGGCAGTCCAATGAAGGGTCAAGTAGGTCTGTGAGGGCGGAGGCACACCTCGCCACACTCATAGAAAAGCTCATATCTGTGGCATGGGGTCCCTATCAGGCTAGGGCTTGCGATGAAGATGCCAACTGGGGCGCGGAGACCTGGACTTTGTTTTGGCCTTGTTAGGAGTGATTCTTAAGATTCAGCTTCCTCTCAGGATGCTAGGGATACCTCGGATATGAATATGTTGATACTGTACGTGCAGGCAAAACAAAGGTGTGTACAACATTGTGCGTACGTAAATATATGGCGTGTGTGTATACAGCCATGGATGCAGCATGAGTTTATAGGATTCATGCTTCAGAGGCTCGTTCTTCATGGGGTTGATGGACTGCGCTGGTTGAGATGTAAACAGGGGACCCGTTGCCGGAGTGGATAAATGCTAGGCTTGTCAGCCACCAGGACAGTCAACTTCGAAGGAAGTAGTAGCGCTCGAGTTTCTGAAGGATTGAAGATAGCGCGCCGCTCACGCCTTTCTCCGGGATTCGGGGTCTCGACCAAGAGACCGCAGACATTACGCAAACCCAAGGGGGCTTAGCCATCCCAACATTGATTGGACTCTTATTCACACGCGAAGTTACCATCAACAATAAATCTCAACGGCAACAGTGAAACTAGATTCACGCACCGCAGCCGCCCATTGCTTCTTCTTCATGCGCAGTACGATTCCCTAGACTTCTGCAACTGCTACCATTACTGCCGCTTGATTGATTGCTATGAAAGCTGCATTAGACTTCTCCTTTCCTTTCGGCAACACATCTCAAGTCCCCTCAGGTGTCTAGTAGGTAGATGCAGACAGCGGCCAAGCATCACGAATCCCTAATCGGTAGGCATGTTTCTCGGGTGTGTTGCCTGCTTTTCTTCAACGATCTCAACCGTCTGAGCTTCTGTACCGCAGGTACAAAGCTCCGCATGAAATTTGCATCGGATCCTTCTAGATCATTTTTACTTCCCTTGTGATGGTGCTGCTGGAGCATCTCTCACAGTTGTGGGCCTTCTTGTGGGTTTCTTCTGCTCAACAACCACTAATCAGAGGAACATACTCGGGTTACCCCAGATTTGAAACATGTAACTTCTGGGGTGACTGTGACTTTGGCTTGGAGCGTGCCGGTCAGACCCTTCTGAGGTGGATCCGTCCGGCACTTAACCGGCTCTCGTCCTCTATGCTTGTGACTTGCATCACGGTTGCCACAAGCAGGTGGTCCGCTTTGTGAGGAGTTTGGAGGGCTAGCATGCTTTTTGCAGGTCTCAACCGAGTCCTCACTTGGAAGGTCCTTTTTTTTTTGTCCACGTGTAGGTTTGTAATGAGATCCGGATGACGCAATAGTGAGCGGCGCAAGTTGGGAATCCGTGAGTGTGTGCACGTCTTCCAGTCCACCAAACATTGCCATACTCTTATGTATTTCTAGTAGTTACGCAAGGAATTTGAGCATTGGACATTTCCATTTTCGCCCCTGCGCACATAACTGCCCAAAATACATGGTTATAAAATTCCAAGTTTCAGAGCATGCAAGTCAAGCCTACCCATGCACTCTTGCTGACCACACCTTCCAGGCCTCTGTTGTTTTGGACTTTCAGGCCATACCTCCCCCTGGACATGATGTCCATGCCGGATCCTTCCATCTTAGCCTTGCCAGCAGCCCAGTCAAGGGGTCAGTTGAGGGAGGTGTGTTATGCTGCTAGCCGTGTGGGAAGCAGGGTATGGCGGCGCAATTTCAGGCTCGTTATGGGAGGGAATACCTTCCCCTATGTAGGCGAACATACTAATCCCTTCAAACAGACAATCCCCCAAAAAATCACGTTGGGCGCTCGTTGCTTTTTTTGGGGGAAGAGCAGAGCATGATGATTTTCCAGGTCTTGTGCAGTTTGCCTTCCTTGTGGAACACAAACTCTGAGTCAGTTGTAGACGTATTCCCTGTCTTCCGCATGCTGTATCTACTTCATGAGGATGCACATGTGTAGATGCCTCGAATCGCTTCAATCCCAAGTGCCGCCACTCCTTGTGTTTAGTAACTGGCGGAGGGGACAAGATGTCGTAGCTGTCTCAGATTCAGGTCTTTCAAGTTGAGTCTGAAAACAAAGACCTTGGCCTCAAAATGATCTATCCTGATACGCTCCTATCTTCACAAGACATCCGTGCTCTGTTGCCTGAGGCTGCCTCCCCACCGGGGCGTCGACAGGTCATGCCTGGCATACCAGGCAGGGGTTTTGTGGCAACGCGCCATTCGGTCGCCTGTTTGAATAGCGAGAAGGCTCAAACTAACCCAGCCCTGAGAAGCACCGGCATAGAGATGCGGGCTCTAGCACACTTCATGTGGACCTAGTTTACAAGAAGCTGCTCTCCAGCTGCAAACATTTGATTCAAGCAGCAGGGCATTTGGACTTGCGAAGCGGGGTTGACTGGAAAATCTTACCCCTGGGAGCTTTTTGTTTTGGGGTTCAGGGATTCTACAATTGAGATCCAGAAGAGCAGGAGCGGGTTTCCAGCGGACCCATGCCCAACTGACGGCTAGAGACCAACAACGAGGGGCCTCAGAGGCATCCTGAAATTCTCTTAGAAGATTTGTATTTCTGCATAAAAGCACAGGTTGGGAAATTCCCATATTCTGCAGTTGTAGGGATATGTGTAAGCAAGAACGGCCCTCAAGCTGTGCAGGCATCCTTGCATAGGTGCTGGCCTCAATGGGGTTGTCCTCAGAATTTTTATCCTACAGCATACATGGATCTGTGGTTGGGGGCTGGGTTCAAAATATCTACCCCCCAAAAAGGTAAACTAAGAACAGCAGATGCGCAAAATGCTCTTTGCTTGGGGAACTGTGCCCATCAAGATGAGAAGGCAGGAACGGTTCGAGCAAAAATCAGAGTGCCTAAAGCCTGTCTGATATGAACGTTTGGGTGAAGATGATGAGCCTTCCGCATTTCCTAGTATGACATGCCCCATGAGCTTTTTTTCGCGTTGTTGAAGGAGACCTTTCAGAAGGACAGGATTCTTTGTTAACAAGGATAAGAACAACAACTCGTTTGGAGTATGACAGGGGAAAGGGTTGTGTTTGAGTGGAAGTGGCGGGGAGGGGTTACGCGCGTACATGGAAGGATTCCCTATTATTTGAATGTGCCCATGCCTGCAGCTCATTGTGTCCTGAATCCGAGGACCGGCAGCTTCCTGTGAAGAACTTGCAGTGTTCGCCAGCCCTACAAGTGTATTGAGGAAGCTGCAACGCTTGCCGACCCGACGAGTTTGTGGATTCCGGCGTTCCCTTTGAGAGTCAAGAGCCCTGTCGCGCCCGTCCCTGGTGAGCACGAGATTGTTGCAGGTGTTGTGCAAACACACGGCAGGTTTGTGACATTGACAGACACTGAGGCTCTAGTAGACTTGTAGACGGCTTGCAGTGTGGTTGAGGAGCTGCAGGCTCGTCCAAAGCCAGGTTTCCCCCAACAGGCTGACGCTCATGCGCGCCAAAGAACGCCCGCTGGTCGCCGCTTCTTGGAAAACTGCGTGTTCATATTGTCATCCCTTCATGATGCGTCAAAGCAAAAACTGTTGTCATGGCACAGAGATGTTTGGTTTGTAGAACATGTTTCAAGTCGCGGTGATATGGTGTCTGGCTCTGAGACTGAGAACATGAGAGCCACGGGATGGACACAAGATCTCCAGTCAGCAAACCACGACGCGTCTGGTCAACACTTCATAACCTGGCTTGCTACAGCAACACATGTCGACCCTCATTAGCATGTAAGGTCCATCTTGCAAACTCCTTCGAGCTTCCACTCAGAAGGGACAGCCTCATGCAACTAGAACCTATCAATAGCAGTCTATGCCGGGTCCCTTCTCGGGGCTCACATTAGATTGAATGGATAAATTTTGGGGCATATACAGGAGGCCCCTGGCTTGACATAGGATCACTCCCGCTGAGTGCATGCCACCGTCCCCGCGTCCGCCTGGCGAGAGCCCCGCCAAGCGGGCCAAAACTGGCGGGGACTCGTACTACAGTGGCCTGGCATCTGTTTGTCGGCTTGTAAAGTCTGAGCGGATATGGCTAGTTGTGAATACAGCGGTCCTTCCATTCCCGCGGTAGTGGCCCGGCGCTCGGCAGTGTCTATCCTGAAACCTGGAGGTAACAAGACTTGGCAAAGATGTGTGCTCTTGTGTGAATGGACCACAAGCTCGAAAACACGGGATACAAATTTCAAAACTCGATGGCCTCAGACGTTGGGGAATCATTCTTCCAACTCTCACAAGCTCTACTCCTACCAAGTCACCCATGGTCGTGAAGTTCAGCCACCTGCGGAATGGAATCTGTGCCTGTGATATAATTTCATTCTTTTTCCAATTCAAAGACACTCCTCAGAATGACCCTGTCAACTCCTCAACAGCGACGTGATGATCGTCTAAAAGTCTCGGCATATCCTCATTCGAGAGAGAGCATGTGGACCTGGTAATCCAACAGCTGATCCTGCTGAGGAGTCATTGATGGTGTGAAGTACGATCGCGCGCTGCTGCAGCGGGCGGAGGCTGTTCACACTAAGAGGATTTTTGGTAACCTCTGCCCAAAGAATTCAAACTCTGTAAGTGGCACATTGTGACTGGCGCTGACTTTGGGGTTTTGAGATTATTTCAGACTAGCAAGTTCATTGGCAATGACTGAAATCCTCCTGGCAAGCGATAGCCAAATTATGCCGGTGAGGGCGTCCTAGTTGCAGTTTGAGGACAGTTGATTGACTTCGCACAGAATTATTGCCTTTCCCTGCTTCCAATCATGTACCAAACATGCAGCACCGGGAGCATCTAAGTGAAAGTGGCCTGTGTTCTTGTTCCTGTATACTTCGGTTTCTACCTGGTGCAGTACCTTTGTGGAAGCTACCTAGCCTTACTTGGCAACAGAAATGGCAGGCATGTCCCCAAAAAGACGGTGAGAAGGGAGCATTACTCATTACTTATCATTGTGTCAGACTTTTGAAGGAGGCAGTGGTGGATGGCCAAGTATCCTTGGCAGACGCCACTGCTCTGTGGGAGGATGCCTTGGATGGCAACATTGCAGCCAGAAAGGGAAGGGCTTAGGTTTTGAGATTTATGGCTTTGCTCTCAGGGTGGCAGGGATTTAGAACACAAGTCAGGGAGTTTGGGGGTGTCGCTCAGCTATGTAGGGGGGGTCCAGCATTTGCGCAGCATCCACTGCTGCAGCACTGGATTTAGATAGCAATTCGCTTGCATGAGCGTGGAAATAACCAAAAGGCGCTGGGGCTGGGCCCCATCATCAGACTTTTCGTGTTTTGCGGTATGAAGAGGCCATATCTTTGGCGCACGTAGACTCCATAAATTGTGCGTGTCAGCTGCGGCGTGGGAGTAGTTGCTGAAGGTCTCATGCGCTCTCAGTCCTCGTGGGACTCGTGGGTCAGCAATCTACAAGTTCGTTTGTATGGCAGGCTGTGAACATGATAATTAATATTACTGGGTTCCTCAGTGCATCCTTTTATATGTTGGCCAACCCCTTTCTTTAAGCTTGATTATGAAGTTTGTTGTGTGAGGCCTGTTGTCTTCTTACGTACGGTTCATGCAGGTCTTTAATTCAAGCCTCTGGTTAGAGTGTCTTGAGATTTCTTAAACATAGTTGTCGACACGCACTGGCGCAGCTCCCAACCCAGACTGGCTTGTGCCAGCAAGCTGCACTTGCGGGATTCACATGCATGCGAAGCACACATTAGTGACGGGACCTGTTGCTGAAGACTGAGAACAATGGCAGAGGCCAACCGGGAAGGCGCAGAAATGTCATCTGCAGGCTCGGAGCAAGCACCCCCAACAGCTGACACCGGTGGCAACCAGTGGCAGAGAACTCTGTCTCTTGTGCCGAGGGTACCGAACCCCCAGATCGACAACGGAAGGAGTGGCCTCCAGAGAAGGCCACCAAAACTTACGTGGGGTTGGTAGGGGATGTGGGGATATATCATATTATGCTGGGGACTATATATAAAAGATTCTATTCTCATATTCCTTACCGCCCAACTTGTGGGATTTCACATGTCAAATGGATGACCCCCTTTTCCAAACAGCAGCCGAGTTTGACCCCAAGACGCACTTCAATTTGTTCGGAGTATCCCCAGAGAAGACCTCGCATGATGCACGCCCATCCCGAAGGGCTTGAGCCCGGGCCCCGCTAGGTAGCAAAAAAAAGTGTTTGCACATTTCTGCATTTCCTCGTGACCCAATGTTGATCGACTAGCAGGACTAGTTTTCCGACATGTACAATTCGATGCTCGAATATGTCAATGGACTCTCTAGCTCCTTGACCCTTGAAAAAAGCTGGAATCTATAGCTCAAACCTCAACATGCTAAACCGAAAAGAGGAACCAGACTATTGCTTGATATTACTGCCTCCGAATCTTTGCTTCGTTGCATTACCATCCATGGCCCCAAGCGTTGTTCCGAAGACCTAGCCCTGCACCCCAGGCCTTGATGCTTTACTAACTGCTTAAGCCCCCAAACTAGATCCCACGTCCTTCCCAGATCTATGGGTATGGAACCTCGCGTATTTAGGTCCGTATATTTTGCTCGATCTACCATGGCAGCCCGCGGGTGATAAGGCAAGAGTGTGACCGCCATAGAGAAACAGACGCTGAACCTTGGCTGATCCAAATATATCCAATTAACCTCTGCGGAATTCCTCCCCGCATTTCTGTGTGGGGATCATATCCCACAATCCAGATTTCATGTCGCAAGGTCGGGTTCCCCTGTGCGTAGACTTGTTCAACATGTTGCCTTTTTTGTTTCATAGGTGTGTCCAGAACATATGTCTTGTTTTGGTACTCGAGACACTTGTATTTGGTTGGGGTAGTGAGGGGAGCGGACGCGTCTTGGAACTCGACAGCACGTGCATGCATATGAGATCCTGAAGCTTCAGGAACGAGCGTTTACTCTGAGGGACGCCTGGGCCACCGAGCGGTTAGGAAAATACTCGTGACAAGGGGTTCGTCGGACTTAATACACCGTATTGCCGAACTCCAATGTTTTTTCAAGGGATGGCATGGATCTTTGTATCCCGCACGGCGAAGGGGGACATGCGATCGAGCAGCAGGCGTTTGGGAGCAAGCATCAAGCGCAAGTCAGTACAGCCTTATCACTTTAGGGGGTGGCCTCTGTGATATACCGAAAGCCTTTCGCAAGTTACATCAAGTTACACATTTCTGAATGTTGTATTGAAGCCAAAGATTGTCTTCGAGTCTCGTAAACTTGGCCATAGATTGTCTTCGAGTCTCGTAAACTTTGGGCTGTCGGAGAATTCTAAGCAGGTCTCAGGATGTTTAGCAGGTTTTGGTCTGGGTCAGACCGAAATAACAAGAATCCCAGATATCGAACGCCAGGAGCATGGGGTTCGCGGTTTGTAAGGTTTTGGGTGATGCAGGATACGCTTCAGCAACAGTATGATCCTGGGTCGAAAGAATTCAACTGAGGCTGGCTTGTGAATTGGTTAAGGAACCACAGGGACCTCTACTCGCAAATTCTCATCTTGTTGGGAAGGAGGCCTCTCACAGCCAGGCATTGTGACCCGGAAGCAGCCAAGGCAATATGTGCTCGAGAACCATCGCTTCACCAGCAAAGCTCAGAGATTTCTGCAAGCAAAGCTTGGAGGAAAAGCAGGCAGTGCCTTGGCAAGTGGGCATCGGAAACCCTACTTGGGGGTTCATGTGTTGGTTTACAGGTGCAGTGGGGTGGCGGTAGTGACAACCTAAATTTGATACCCATGGACCATGAAGTAGCAGAGGGCCTTTTAGAGCAGACCTTTCGGGTAGGCTCCAGTTGTGGCTCGAGATGACATCTTGAAGTGGAAGCTGACCCAAAGCCTATTCCCTTGTTTACAGATCCTCCCGTTGTTAGATATTATCATAACAGTGGGAATAGTTTCTGACGGAGTTCAGGGTGTTCCATAATGGGGGAAGCGGACTAACACGAAGCAGGTGATGCCAGTTTCGCCCCTAATGTACATGAATCTCCGATGGCGCAGGTGTGTGTAGTGGCTGAGGGCTTCTGCAAACATGTTTAGCTTTGTGAGCCTTGTGCTGCAAGGTACCTATTACAGGACAATCGATCGGGTCACATACGACCGAGCGCTGCTGGAGCAAGCAGAGACTTTTGCTGCCCAAGGAGGGAACATCTCGTATGAGGAGGCAGTGGGTTGTAATTTGTTGTAATGGCGTGGCAGTGAGGCCAAACCAAACATGCAAGTGTCTGTTTGAAGTCTAGAGGACGCAAGTGCTCAGACAGCTGCAAATTCATTGTATTTTTTAACGCGTCCGCTCCCAGTAGTGGACCTTTTTTTCTCTACGGAATGCATCCCAAACTATCACGAGTGTGACATTCACTGCCCTGGGATGAGGAGGGAACCGCTGAGAATGAATCGCAAACCGTATACAGCCTAAGCTCTAAACATTAAAAACCCGAGCTCTAAAGCCCAGCCCCCAAACCCCCAAACCCTTCGTCCTCTTGAACGGCCCCCTGCAGGCCATCCAGCTATAGCCCCCAAACCCCCAAACTCTTCGTCCTCTTAAACGGCCCCCTGCAGGCCATCCAGCTATGGGAAGCAGTCCAGGATGGCTCTGAAGTTACTGACTGCGAGATTCGAAGTCTTCAGATGCTAGGCTTGAAGTGGAAAAGTCTCTCAATAGGACCAAAGATTGATCCCTGGGAATTCCTATACTCCAGGAGGGCAACAAATAGGGTCAACGAAGCATTGCGAGCGTTTCAACTATAATTTTTTCCTTTATGGATCAAAATTTCAAAAGTGATGCCATTCGATGCCTGCGTTGAGTTGGCTCTCAGTCCACTCACAGACCAGGAGGGCTTTTGTGGTTGGAGTTTCTTGTTCTGAACTTTCAGTTTGCATGGCGTGGATCAGCGATAGGCCATTTGTCGCCAAGTGTCTAGTGCGGAGCGCATGCCAGCTGAAGCATTGAAGCCAAGCAAGCGGCTGAATGTCGAAGATATGCATAGGAAGACCATCTTACCACAAACGTGTCTCTTCGAAATGGCTTGTGCGTTTGCACATGCTCGGTGAGGGCTAACATGGGTAGCTGCAGGTTTCCCAGGTTCAGTTGAAGCTCTTTGATTGACTGACCGACAGGCTCCTGAACACCAGGGCTCCTCTAATCATTTGAGGCAGCTTGTCGGTTCCTAGCTTTCTTGATCCCGGTATATCTGATTGGGCAGGGCATGTTATGTCCCTATGCTCCAAGATCTGCTCAGGTATATCATTGACAATATCTCGATCAGCCAGAAGGCGCAGGAGTACCTCGAAGCGCAGCTGCCACCATGCACTTCAGATTTGCGGCAAGTGTAATTTTGCGTAAGCGTGCTTCTTATGAGAGTGCTCGCCAAGGTTAGCTCCTTCTTCTGCAGGCCTCGAGCCACCTGCTACGCCAAAGCGAACGCCTCAAAGTCCAGTTGAAGTGCCCTCTGCGTCGCCGGCTCCACGTGGCCGTCCTGCTGCGTCACCAGTGACGGGGCGAGGTCGTGGCCGCGGCCGGGGCGGGTCCCCAGCAGAGCCTGCAACACCCCGCGGCCGTGGGCGAAGTCCGGCGCCGCCTCCTAAAGCGGGGGCTAACCCGTCCCCTCCAGCTGCCCGCTCTGCATCACCTGCGGAACGGTTACCGTCTCCGGCCAAAGCCATGCCAGCGAGGCAAGCAAGCCCAAAAGCCGAGACACCAAGAAGTGTGGCTCCCACATCCCCTCCTCCACCAGAACCTGAAGCAGCAACAGCAACGCCTCCGCGGAGCAGCGTGACTCCCAAAGCCACTCCCAAGTCAACCCCCAAGTCGACTCCGAAAAACAAAGCGAGCCCCAAAGCAACTCCAAAAGCCAAAACCGCCCCCAAACAAGGCAGCAAACCCACGCCGTCAGAGAAGCAGTCTGCACCGAGTGCTGACGATGCTGCAGGCGCCACTGAGGATGTTGCTGCAGAGGAGCCGGTTCAGCCAGCTGAGCCATCTGAGCCGGCTCGATCAAGATCACCAAAGGCACCCACACCAAAAGCCACACCACCCAAGGCTACGCCATCCAAGGGCACACCGCCAAAGGCCAAGGCGGCGACAGCCACGCCTCCAAAAGCAACGCCCCCAAAGGCCGCGCCGCCGAAGGCTACGCCACCGAAGGCTAAGGCCAAAGCCGCGCCAACATCGCCGGAGCCTCCGACGCCTTCTCAGGCCACTCCTAAAGCTAGCGGCCCGAAAGCCACACCCAAAGAAAGCCCAGCGAAGGACAGGGTGGCCAGCAAGATGCCAGCGGCGAATGAGGAGCCCTCCACGCCACCAGCCAAGGTACGAAGGCAAAGCAGCCCACCCCCGAAGACCGTGCCAGAGGTGGGCAGGGCAATCCAATTGCTGCTAGCCATTCGATGCTGGAGTTGGAGCAACTCTTTGTTCTGATATGATGTTCAGGTCTTCTCATGTCTTCTCGTAAGCATTGTTGCACTTCTAGAAAGTTTGCTTCGTGCTGCGAGTCTCATTTCCCTGTCCCTGACCCTGTCCTTGCAGGTTGGCAACGCAGATGCGACCTCAGAGATGGAGGCAGGAGAGTTCAGGGCGATCATTCCAACCACTTGCTCTTTAGATGCCCGAAACTTTGCAATATCCCCTCTCGAATGCCACATCCCCAAAGTTTCGGTTCAGTATTTAATGTAAGAGAGAGCATAGCAACAAAGCCGCACGAGTGTCCGCGTGGTCTTTGGCCCGGACGGCGTAGCCTCGCGTAGGCATGTGTAGGTTGCCATGTTAGTCTTCATACTCTGCGCAGTCTTGCTGTTTTATAAAAGACCCAAAAAAGAAGGGTACTCATGAGCATGTTGTACAGGCCAGGGCTGGAGCATAGTCCGAGAAGGTAGATGGTTGCACAGTACGTTGGCGCTTGTAGTTTGCGTAGAAATTCCTCTTCCGCATGATAATAATAAATTACGCTAAACTGAGAGAACAATGTTCCAATCCATAGCACTTCGCATGGTATTCTGAATCGCGACATTGCTCTTCAATACTCCCACCTCAGAAACGACCCAAATGTAGACCACCAAGGAGGAAAGTTCTTTCGGATTCAGACAACATAAAGACAATGCCTGTCCCTCACTCCACCACGACCCTACACCCTGGCCCTAGTCCTAAATTCTAATTTCTAAAGTCTTCATTTATAGACCGTACTTCGTAAACCCTTAACCCCTACATCAAAAACCCTAAGCCAGAAGAGTCAGCACTCTCCTGTAGGCGGCAGAGGAAGCCGTTGTCGCCTGCCGAGCTCGTGAGCGCGCTGCGCAGCACGCCATTATGGTGCCTTGCCGCGCTTAGTTCTGATTTTGCTGCCTGGGGGCTTCCGCAGATATTGCAGGGAGTTGCCAACCCGCTCAGCTTGAAGGATCACGAGATGCAGCAGTAAAGTGGTACTATAGACCTTCATGGCCATGCCTCAAGATGCCTCAAGTACGGCCAGCTTACACACCTGGCAGAGGTAGCAAAGTCTATTGTAGAAGCAATGCAAAAAGTGTGCCTCGGAAGGTCAAATATTTCCGGCTAAAATAAGGCTTGAAAAAGACCCCGAGGATGGTACAGCTGCTGGCTTGGAGATTTACTAAAGGATGAGAGACAGGATCTCTAGGGGGCATAGAAATGGGTTCTCATAATACAGTTTTGAGGTTCAAGGGTCTTCAGGAGGCCCCCATCTTGAGAAACGTTCTCAGGTCGCAAAGGATGCTGGTCGCCGGTCAAAGGACCTTGAGGAGGCAAATTCCAACCCCTTTTGTTGGTTTGGGCGTTTTGGGGCTTTGGGAGGTTCAGAGTTTTGGCATGGGTTTGGGTTTGGGGTTGGACTAGATAGGAGTCTGTCTAAATTCTAGGCGCGTCTCCGGGGTATTCCGTTCTTCTTGCCATGCATTGGAGGCCCCGAATTGTGAAAGACTTACAGGAGATTCTGACTGTTACAAGCTGCCCCGCCTTGCTTCTTGTGGGGCACAAATGGACACGCAATTTCTTAAGAACTCGCAGGGGCTGCTGAGGGTCTCGCGATTTTGGGCTCCTGACGCATGTGCCACGTCCGTTCCTTCATGACCACAAAGTTCTGCAGACGGGACTTCACAGATTCGGCGGTTTTGAGAAGAGGGTTGGCGGTGCGACGCTTGTTTCACTCAAGAGGCCCTTCAATCTGCGCAAAAGCCACAGTCCCTGTGACAGGAGGTCAAGAAGCTTGTGCAAAGTCTGGAGCGCGCTAAGATGTCTGCCGACAAGGCAAGTTCATGATGAGTTCGGGGGCTTTCTTTCGACATCTTTCGACGATGGTCGGGATCTGGGGAGGCCTATGGCGCGGCATCGAAAGCACAGCAAGCTGCAGAGCGCGCAGCCAAGGCCGGAGTGGATGACGACGCGTGATAATGTGAGGGTCTTTGTGTTTGTCGGGCCAAGAGGCGCATCCCGATGTTTTGAGTTACAACTTAGTAACCATGCAGGGACCTGGCAAGCAGCTGCTGGTCTTTTTGTCACCTGCAGGGTTGCGTGGCTTTTGTGACCCTACATGCAAGTACTTAACAGCAGCTGTCTTGGCCAGCTGCTGAGAGCAGAACATCCAGGGTCTGTGCAGACCATTGTAGTATTCAAATGCGCGGGAACGCCTTCTTGTAGCAGGCATATTATCCCATTTCATACACGCTTCAACAGTGACTGGCAGCGCAGTGTGGCGGAGCTGAAGGCAAACACCATTCGGATCCAGTAGGTTGCTGACGAGCCCCGTTTTGCTTGTACACAATTAACGCGCGTGGGAGAACCTCACAGGTGCGTTCGCAAGTTCCGAGTTTTCTGTACAAATTCAACATGACTGGTGTCTCAAGGCTTGCTCCCCCAGCTAGTCCTGCTGTACATGGCATCTTCATAGGAATCTGTATAAACCACACTATGACGGCTCATCCCGGGCTTCAGGAGCAGCACACCATTGAGGCCTCCATCAAGGCAGCAAATTTGACATTGGGTTGGCTTTCCTCATGGTTGTGATGATTGTATAATATAGGTATTGTTACACATTTGCGTGGACCTTGCATGAAACAGATCTCATGTGGTATGCAAACATTGCATTTCTTGTTGCATGGTGCTTTGTTGTTTGTCTAAGTTGTGTAGGGTCTGAAGGTTGAACCATGACTTCGTGGATAATTGATTCTAGGTCCTAAGTGGCGAGAATCGTTCCTTGACAAGAAGAATGAAGGTGTTTTGATTTGTATGCACATGAAGGACCCATTGCAGAAAACTAAAAAAGGATTGCAGTACAAGCTGCAATCAGAACGGCAGGGACAATGGTAACTGGTTCTTTCTCGTTTAACACCCCAAACTTGAGATCCCAAAGCAAAAAGCTTCGACCTGGGAATCTTCTACGTACTTCTTTAATTCTGAGATTTACGGTGGAGAAGACAAGTATTCATGCTTTTGCAAAGAAAATATGTCAGTGGTAGTGAAAGACATTTGCTGTTATCTGAAAAACCGCGTCGCTTTGGCATCAGCCCCCAAATGCTCTATGATAGAAGGCCAGCAGGGCGCAGCTTCTTTGGGAGCAAGCGATGTATCCCTGAATACTGAAGGCAAGTGTGTGGTAGCATCTCCCTTTCCAAAGGGCCGGGAATCCAGACAGAAGCACAGTAGACTGGGTACCAAGAATGTGCAACAGGAAAGCGAAGTGCCTCGTGGATCGTAGCATGCACAGACACACATATATCTGCAAACGCCTATATTATCTATATGTAAAAACCTTGCACTCATTCACATACTTTCACCTGGAAAGCTACACCACGCCCCACACACTGCGACTCCCCTTGAGTCGCTAAGTAGCAGAGAGCAAGATAAAACAGACACAATACATGGCATCAGCGGGAAAAAATGCTCTGGTTTTCCTCCTTTTCGATTCAATTCTCTCCCGATGATCCTACCATGACCCCCTTAAACCATAAACCCTGACCTCCCCTGAACCAGAAGCTTGAATTGGACAATGAGGCGCCCTCAAATTTGGACCCAACCAAACCATAGACCCTATCCTTTTTATTCCTCCAAGACCCTGAAGGTAAAGCAGGAAGAAGCCCAAGCAATGGCGGCTAAAGCCGCGGAGAGGCACGGGGAAGCCTGAAACTCTAAAACACAAAGCTGCTCTCTAAAGGTTTGTTTAGTTTTGTGGGTTTGGGATTCATAGCTTACAATTCAGGATTTGGATTGAAGGTGTAGGGCTAAGCGCGCAATGCATTGCAGCATACAAGGCTGTAGGCCAATCTGGGTCTCGGTGGACTTGCAAGTCGTTGCAGTGCTATGGTGAAAAGTATTTGGAGGTCTATCTATATAAGGGTCCCCCTACTTAGGGAAACTACCATATGGGGCTCCTACGGGCCAACCGGAATTCGCACGGCCTCCTGACCTTGGTTTGGCATGCAGGAGCGAGCTGGAGAAGACCCTCTTGGAGGCCGGATGGGTTTAGGGTGGATAGGGGACAGGCTTTTTGGATGCCCAATATCCTTGCACGTATACGTTTTCGGGCGAAGGACACAAGCAAAACAAACGGGCCTGGATAGTCTAAGAGCCTCATGGAAAAAGAAGGCAACAGAGAAGGCAGGGATCATGCAAGCAGGGGTATGCAAGCACGGGTTGCATTGGGACCTTGGCATGTAAAGACCATGACAATATCGGCATAGGGTTGCGGTAAGAAACCTGAATACTTGGCAACACTATCCTGAATCAGTATTCAGAGTTCAGCATAGAATCTTTGCATCCTTCTATGAATCCCCTTGTGCTCCTTGCTTAAAACACCCTGTCATTTCCAGGGCAGGAGCCATGACATTTGTTCCAATTAATTGGGGATGTGAATACTTATCTACAAACCCCGCCCCAGGCAGTCACCCAGCGAGAGAAAGCGCAAGCAAAGGCTGTCGGGAGCCCTGGAGCAAGCTAGAGTTGAGGCTTCCAAACTTAGGAGTTTGTTCTGGAGCTTTGGAGGTGTCAGTTTTTTTTGGCACGGTAGAGAAGCAGTTTTTCTTTTTCTGTCTCAGAGGTTTAGAGATTAGACATTTAAAATCTAGAGAACCTGCGGTTTGGGATCACCGATTCAGGCTTAGAAGCGTGTCATCAGGTTGGCATACGAGCTACTTTGCAGACACAAGCTTTGGGCTTTCCTGTAAAGAGCCCCAAGCCTCAGAATCCCTGGATGTCCACCTGTCTGCCTGCAATGGCTCACTGCCCTGAGCGAACAAGAACCTGTTTGTTCAGATCCAGTTATCTTCAGCCCCAAGAAGGTAAACCTTCTATCCTGGACACCATATCCTAAGCTTTGTATCCTTGACCTTGAAGTAGATGCCAAACCCTACCCCCTTAACGCCACTGAGGCCGAGAAACGCGAGAAGCGTGCAGCCACAGAGTCTGCATCTTCAGCCAAAGCTGCGCCGAAGGCGGTGGGCTTCGGGTCTGAGGTTTTAAACATGTGGTGTGGATCTTTGGGGATTGAGGGTTTGGTGCTGAGAGATGAGGACTTTTGCCAGTTGCAGCTTAAGGGTCGAAATTGAAGCATGTGTAAAGCTAAGAGAGTGCTGAATGAGCCAGCGGAACTTGCAATCGCGAGTGAATGAAGTCGTGTAGTTCGGCGCGACATACTGCAATATCAAGCAATAATGAGCAGGCAAGATGGGTGACGACCATGACGAGATCAAATTTAGAACATTTACTACTTACATGTCACTCTGCCCATGAGCCTCCAAGTAGCTTGAAGCAGAGTTGATCCTCAAAGCTTAGTTAACAAAGCGTATGGGTATCTCAACAAGAAAAGGTCCGTTCATGTAATAAGTGTCCGCAGGATAAGGCCATCCTTATAGGGATTCCCAACCTCTCAACAGCAGGACTTCAATCTGTGGAAATCCTTATCATGGCACTGCAGCCGAGGCGGCAGCAGCAGCCTACGGCATTCAACACACTTCTTGCAGTTAGCTGGCTAGCAGCGGGTGTAGGGCTCCAGCAAGCGAGAACCAGAACATGATGAACATGGAGAGTGTGCAAGAGTACGCGAAGAACGCGAGCATCAGCATAATTCTTTCCGGGCCTCTCAATGAACAACGGCGTGCGAACAGAATGCTCGACTGGCGAACCTCATGGCGAAGGAAAGCATCCCTATGTAGCCAAACACTGGGGACTACTGAACTATGCGGGGTGTTGTTTGTCAACAGTAGCCCATTCTCTTGATCACCCACGGCGCTGTTTGGTGCAGACCTAAGAGCACCTATCCTGAGCATAGAAGAGCGCATCTTTGAGACATCGTAGTGCCGACGCACGCAGCAACTGGAATTGAAGGAGCCCCGACAGCCCTATGTTTACTAATGTTCTCTATCTTGGCTATGCCGTCAGCCTCCGCTCCAATGATTTGGACCTCTGTTATTCCCATAGCTTAACACGCAATTCCTTACATTGAAGGCTCCAAAAGGCGGCACCCCCATTTTTAGCCTCATATCCTCCTCAGCTTCTAGGCGGCTCCAAAAGCTGCGGAGCCCGTCCAAACACCCGAGCGCCGGCCGCGGCAATTGGACTAGGCTTGAGGTGACGTCTGCGGGTTATCGTTTTTTCTGGGTTTACTGCTCCAGGACTTGAAGCCGTTTAGAGTAAGCTCCATGGTTCTGGGGTTGAGGTTGCAACTTCGTGTTCGATACGTTAAGAGACTCTGCTGAGCTCCATCTGTAGAAGGGAAACTGCATGCACATCCTTGGTCCTTTTTAACAAATATTGCTGTTGTTCTTTGCCGCCAGGAGCAATTGAGCCCGCTGATGTTTTCAAGTGACCAGTAGGTGTTTCACATCTTAGAAACATACAAATGTCAATGCCTTGCTGCATGTTGCAAAGTCGGATCAGAGGTATCCACTGCAACAGCACGCTGTACCATACAGGAGGATAATTGCGCCCCCCCACATGGCAGCGCCGCCATGCCGGGCAAGCTGTAGTCTTGGATACTACAGATCCTGCTTGACCTCATTATACTCGTATCATAGTACTGTAAAAATTCCTGAATGTAAGGTGCTTAGGGTCACGCAGGCTTTGTAGGATTCACCGTGCCTACAATAGGACGCGCGAATGCATGTTGCTGCCGGGATGGGCTTGCCCCTCTTCGCGCATGCAATGGGAATGCAGGGCTTTGATGCCCTGAGCATTTGGGGTTTGTTCCACGCAGCGCGGCTGGGAGCAAAACAGAGCCCAACTCGTGATCAACTTGTTGAGGTACTGAATAGTAACCATGGAGGTCATCAAAAATTCTTGCAGCAGCTGTTTTAGGCTGGCCTAGAAATTGACCTTGGGCCAGTTGGCAGCCACATATTGAATGCTAACGAAAGTACACTTAGCCGGCAAGCCTGAGCAACATGTTTTCTCAGGAC